CAACGGAAAAACAATGGAATTCCGTCAAAAATTATTGAAAAAGTTTTCGACGAAAAATAAATTCCGTCGAAAATTTTCACGAAAAATCAATAAATTTCCGTCGAAAACTGATCTAAAGATTTTCAACAAAAAAACAAATTCAATCAAAAATATTTAGAATTTATTTTTTAAAATTTCTCTCTACAAAATTAATACCAATTTTCTATTCTACACCTGATAAAAAGTTATAATCAAAATAAACAACATATCAAATTCAAATCACCTTAATCAAAATCAAATCTCCTTAATCAATACAATACAATCAAATCTCCTTAATCAATACAATACAATCAAATCTCCTTAATCAATACAATAAAATCAAATCTCATTAAATCAAATCTCCATAAGAAATACAATAAAATCAAATCTCCTTAACAAATAAATATATTTTGTAACCTTAAGAAATTAACAAATAAAATTATAACATATAAATTTATAATTTAACGAACAATTTCTTCTCAGTCTTTTTTGAACTTCACGTTAATAAACAATCCTTCTATTCCTTGGCTTTTTTCTCTGTCTCTGACCATCTTCTTTTTCATCAGGAGCTTCATCTTCCAACTTGGAACTGTCTACGGTGGGGGAAGTGCCTAATTAATAAAATCACTTCATAATGAATCCCTAAGATCATGTATATTTTAAGATCATGTTTTAAAATAAATTCAAGAAAGAAATAAAACCAATAAGAAATCTTTACCTCCTCTGCTCTTAAGGTTCAGTAGTGATTATTTTTGCCAACAACTCCCATTACACCCAATGAGTCCCGGATCTGATTGACCTGATGACGCAAACTTTCAGTATTAACATTCAATTCCAAACTAGTAATATTGGTACTGATAATTGAAAACTGAATTCAGAAGAGAAAATACCATATCAATATTTTTGTCCCCTGCTTATAAATAATAAACAAATAGCACACCATCATAAAACTTGCTTTAAGTGAATTTCAGTCATAGCTGCAAGCAACGGTATTAACTATCAGTTTGCTGATATATGAACACAATGAAGGTAATACTTTGCATTTGTGAAATACTACGACTTTCATGTTTTGACTTTCACAACACTTTATATGGTAATATTTAGAAAAGGCCAATTAATATAAAACATATTCAAGAGTGTTTATGTGCCTTTAAACATGTTATGGAATAGAATTATGATGTTCATGGCTGCTCTTTGGTGTTTTATTCATGCTTGCTTGTAGGAAGTTGTTGTCTTTGATATGCAAAGGTTGTGGGGTTCCTTGCTGCATAGAATTTTCTGTTTTGAAGAATATCTTATCCTCCCCCTAGTTATATTTTTGCTCTTTTCTCTCTTATAAAACTCCCTTTCTATCAAAAAATAGATATGGTCTAAGTAACAGTTATCTCAAGCAAGTCTTATTTCCTTAACATGGTAAAGAAAAAATGATAAAAATTGATTCCATCAAAGACATTTTGCAGAAACCCCAGCTATATGCCTAGTCATAAATTGTTCTACGCTTACAACAATTGATAAAAGCAATAATAAGACCACTGAAGAATGTAGCCATATTATGAATATAATTCCCAACCTGTATCATCAAAAGTCAATAGACATATTGTATGAGATGTATGTGCTGAGATATTATCTGTAAAAAATAACGAATTTGCACAGGCATGAATATATACACATAAGAGCACGACATACTTTTTCATTTATGAACCAAAAATTGTAAAAATCTTAGGAACTCGAAGGGAGCTGCATTCTGGAACCTCATCTGTCAAAGCAAGACAACGGAAGAGCAAAATACATCAAACGAATAAATAAAGGGATCGACCGTGGATAAGCATTATCTATGCTAAGCAAAGCACAAAGACGAAGCAACGGAAGCAGCTAACCGATGAGCTTCATGGAGCCATCCATTCGATTAACAGCCAAAGAAGAACCAGAAGAGCCATCAGTTGGCTCAATCACATACTGATCCGAAAATTCCCAGAGTAGCATGCGTGTGTACAGCTTCTGCACAGAATCTGCTCTCTCCATCATTATTGAAACTCCACCTCACTGAAAACAACACAGACTATTTATTCATTCAAACAGCCAAAGTTCATGTTATGTTCGATCCCCTTCTATCACGCCTACCAAACACTCCCAACATCATGAAACCAGTGCATTAAACATCATGAAGTGTTATGAAAATCCCCATCAAATATCAAGTAAAATCCAAAAACACAAACTATGAATGCTCTAAAGTTTCAGTCAAACTTACTGCTACAGATGCAATTGGGTTTGTTATTTTCTTAATAGCCTCCAAGCCACCGCACGTCACTGCCGCTGCAGTCACCGCACGTCGCCGCCGCTGCAGCCACCGCACGTCGCCGCCGCTGCACATCGTAGCCACCGCACGTCGTCGCCGCTGCAGCAGCACATCGCCTACGCTGCCGCTCCTCGTCGACGCTGCCGCCGCCACTCGCCGCCGCTGCTGCCGCTCCAAGCCGATGCTGAAATGTCCTGGTCATTATTTGCTGTCTGCGGCTTCTCTTAGTGTACACTTAGGTTTTTTTCTTTTAACTTGAATTAGGGTTTGTTATTTTAATTTGAAGTCTGATTGGCCATTATTCAAGTATTAGGCTGCGTTATTTATGGCCCATTAGTCAAGTATTTAGGCCTATTTCATTTAAATTGCTTTTTGATTTATTTTTAGATAATGATTTTCGACGGAAAACGAATTCCGTCGAAAATTCATAAAAATAATTTCTTTTTGATTTATCTTACTATAATGGTTTTCGACGGAAAACGAATTCCGTCGAAAATTCATAAAATAATTTCTTTTTGATTTATTTTACTATAATGGTTTTCGACGGAAAATGAATTCCGTCGAAAATTCATAAAAATAATTTCTTTTTGATTTATTTTAACATAATAGTTTTCGACGGAAAACAAATTCCGTCGAAAATTCATAAAAAAAAATTGCTTTTTGTTTTATTTTTATATAATGATTTTCGACGGAAAACGAATTCCGTCGAAAATTCATAATAATAATTTGTTTTTGATTTATTTTAATATAATGATTTTCGAGGGAAAATGAATTCCGTCGAAAATTCATAATAATAATTTCTTTTATTTTTATTTTAATATAATGGTTTTCGACGGAAAATGAATTTCGTCGAAAATTCATAAATATAATTTCTTTTTGATTTATTTTAATATAATTGTTTTCGACGGAAAATGAATTTCGTCAAAAATTCATAAATATAATTTTTATTTGATTTATTTTAATATAAGGATTTTCGACGGAAAATGAATTCCGTCGAAAATTCATAAATATAATTTCTTTTTGATTTATTTTTTATAACATTTTCGACGGAATTCGTTTTCCGTCAAAAAAATGCGACGGAATCTATTTTTCGTCGAAAAATTCCGTCGAAAATTAAGACTTTTCTAGTAGTGCTAGCAGTGGAAGGTATCGATCCCATACCGAGCCTTGCTCTAAGGTGCAAGATCTCAACATGTCCTCTAGTGTTTGAATTGTCCTCTCTGTCTGACCATCCATCTGAGGGTGATAGGTTGTACTCAATCTCAACTGAGTGCTAAAAGCTCTCTGTAATGCATCTTGAAATCGAGATGTAAACTTCGGGTCTCGATCACTAATGATACCCTCAGGAACCCATGAATTTTCAATCTCATGAACATAAAGTTGAACCAATCGCTCCATAGTAAAGCTCACCTTCACTAGAAGAAAATGGGTAGACTTAGTCTATCTGACTACAATGAGCCAAATAGAGTCAAAATTAGCATGAGTCTTCGGCAATCCCACAACGAAATTCATAGAAATGCTCTCCCACTTCCATTGCAGAATATCGAGAGATTGAAGTTTATCAGAAGGCTCCTGATGTGCAATCTTTACCTTTTGACAAACAAGACACTTTGACACATGTACTGCTATGTCCTTTTTCATGCTTTGTGATGTTCTATCTTCCTTAAATGTTTAGATCATAGTAGAATCACTTCTAGTTACGATCAAATCATCAACGTGCAAGTAGATCATGATAATGTCTCAAGATCTTGACTCTTTATGTAAAATATAGACTCAGTAGGACTTTTCTTGTAAAAATAAGCTTCAATTCTGTTTAACAGGAGGTGGCAAGTAAACGATGAAAAATAAAAAATATTTTTGGGCTCTCAAACGTTTTATAACGAACCACTTCTATGGTGTGCATGTTTTAATTTGAATTTTTAGGTTTAAACATGGATGGAGGATGATTGTGTATAATTATATAACAAACCTCTCCGGTACGCTACACACTAGTACATTGAAATCAGAACTAATCAGATCACGACATACATAATTTAATATGAAAAGAGTACATACATGTGGGATGACAGCTTGCTTTATATCGTAATGTCACAAGGCGCCATATCTCTGCATTGATATACAAATATGGGGATGATTATATTTATAATTTTTGATTATAAATTTTTATAAATTATATTATGTAGTATATATTTTTGGAAGTATATTAGGTTATATTATGTACTCAAGGAAGTATATTAATTTATAAAAAAAATTTGTAAACAGATCATTTTTCTTATAAATATATATAAAAATTTATCTAGATCGTGGAAATTAGTCACAGAAGTAAAGCCAAAAAATATGACAAAAAAAGGTAAAATAAAATAAAAAATCAATTTTGTCGTTAATATTTATTAGAAATGTCATGTAGGACAGTAGGAGATACATTTTATATGCAAAATAATTACATTGGAATTTGCAATGCATACTTTCTATCTTCATATAGTAACATCAAAATCAGATCAAATTGATATCACCACATGATAACCTTAAATTAATATTAAAGCAATGCCAAGAGTGACGCAATTAGAGAAATACATATAAAACATACAATCTTCTAGAATCACATGCCCTTAAATAGATCTTGCCTCTCTTACTGAATTATAACCTCACCTTCGTTTCTTCATAGAACACCTTCATATTCATGATAATGAAGGACTCTATAGTTCTATACCCTGCTTTGGGGAGGGGACACCTAGCCTCAATGGTTGAGTTAGGCAAACTCATATTAACCCAAAACCCTTCATTTTCCATCACAATTCTCATCCTTACCCCACTCAACAATAATGACGACAACAACAACAACATCCAACACATCTCTTCCACCACCACATTTGGCTGTGACGCCACCGCTAAATACATAGCCACCGTTTCTGCCGCCGTACCTTCTATCACCTTCCACCACATCCCGTTCACATCACTCCCTGCCGCCCTTCCATACATTGGCCACGTCCTCCAATCCATTTCGGAAACAACCAACCTTAAGGCCATTGTTATGGACTTCCTCAATTACAACGCCACCAAAGTCACCACCAACCTTAATATCCCCAATTACTTTTACTATACCTCTGGAGTTTCTAGTCTCGCTGTGTTTCTTCAGCTTCCAATCATTCATGAAAACACCACAAAATCCATCAAAGACTTTAACATGCCTCTTCGAATCCCTGGATTACCAAGGGTTCCCATAGAAGACCTACCAGATTCAGTTAAGGATCGTACGACTCATGGTTACCAAGTTTACCTTGACATAGCAACAAGCATGAGGGAGAGTGATGGTGTAATCATAAACACCTTTGATGCCATTGAAGGAAGAGCTATTAAAGCATTAAGCGCTGGGTTGTGTCTTCCAGAAGGTACCACACCGCCTGTGTTCTGCATTGGACCTGTGATTTCAGCCCCTTGTAGAGGAGATGAGAGTGGTTGCTTGAGATGGCTCGATTCACAACCGAGTCAAAGCGTCGTGTTGCTGAGTTTTGGAAGCTTGGGAAGGTTTTCAAGGACTCAGTTGAAGGAGATTGCTATTGGGTTGGAGAAAAGTGACCAAAGGTTTTTGTGGGTTGTGAGGAGCGAGTCAGAAGGGGTGAACTCGGAAGAACCGAGTTTGGACGAGTTGCTGCCAGAAGGGTTTTTGGAGAGAACCAAGGAGAGGGGAATGGTGGTGAGAAATTGGGCTCCACAAGCTGCGATTCTGAGTCATGACTCGGTGGGTGGATTTGTGACTCACTGTGGGTGGAACTCGGTGTTGGAGGCTGTTTGTGAAGGTGTGCCAATGATGGCGTGGCCACTGTATGCAGAGCAAAAGCTGAACAGACTGACTATGGTTCACGAAATGAAGGTGGCTTTGGCACTTAACGAGTCCAAAGATGGATTTGTGAGTGCAACTGAGTTGGAAGACCGAGTTAAGGAACTCATGGACTCGAACAAAGGAAAAGAGATTAGACAGAGGATTTTCAATATGAAAATAAGTGCTGTGGAAGAAAGAGCAGAAGGTGGATCTTCCCATGCTGCTTTGAATAGGTTGGTTCAGTTGTGGAAGCAATACTGAGTACTGACTACTGAGACTTTTTTTTTTTAGGTAACTACTGAGACTTAAACAAAAGTTCAAACGAAGTTCTCATAAAAATAATTATGTTTGGCACAATGTATCGATGACAACACTTAACTGAAGAGGATGAAATAGATTAAATAAGAGAAATTTTTCAGATTTTGAAATGAATAGAACTAATTCTGAGAATTGGACTTAAAAGTTATATTTATAATTAAAGAATGATTGTACTAGACCGTATAAACAAAATTAATTTCCCTAAATTAGTTATTTTAATGTCATTTTTAGATCCAAATCAATTTTTTAACCTTAATTATTCTAAAATCAATTTTGTTTTCGAAACATAAACCGCGTACATGATTGTTTTTTTTTTTTTTTATCTCTTGATATATCAAACTGTTACATATAACATACATCTCGGTCTGTGTAAATTAATAGAGTCCAAACCGAACCGAATGCCTATGTTTGGATTGGGCTGGATTGTTTTTATCCAAAGAAAACTATTGCAATCAACTTAAACCAATCCAATAAACTGATTCGGATCGAATCGATTTGGCTCAAGCATTGGATTTAATTTCCCCCCATCAAATTAGCATACATCAAAAATTAAAAAAATTGATTATCGCTATTCTTCCGTAACAGTAACGGAATATGCACCCACTAGAAGTTATATATAACCTTAAAATCAAACCTTTTAAATGCAGAATAATGAATGAGATACTATGATAAAGTGACACTTTAAAAAATTTGATATGTTCTATCTAATACTTTTTGACACTCCAACACATACTTATGATATCTTATATTTCTTTGTAAAATTGATGGTATTTCAAGTTTAACTTCATTTCTTTTTGTTAAATTATTGAAATATTATATACACTACATAAATTAAAAATATAATATCAAAACGTGTCCTAACATGTCAAAATCTATTATAACTAATGTGTTGGAGTATTATGTCATGTTATGTCTGTGTCACATATCGTTGCAACATAGATAAGATAAACTCAATATTTCCCTTGTAATGTCCAAAATACTTGGAAAGGGAGCCAGAACCGCACATACGTTGTCCGAAATTTTGTGCTAATTAATTTCAACAATAGTGAAACTTCTTAACTAACAGTTTGGATAATATATGATCTAATACGGTGACATGATAACAAACTGGGTATACACGGGGTGTTACATTTTATGTGCATGGTATGCTTTTATGGAAATTATATATGCATTGTTATATGCCTGAGATATGTGGACAAGTCTGTTGATGTAATGTAAGGATGTGATGTTGGTACTTGTACGATCAGGCAGCAATCCTGGTGTGCAAGGCATGAGGCAGCATCCCTCAAGTTTGGTAGGTAGCAGACATGCATAAACCCTATCCTGTTCTCTAACCAGTTGAATGATGCAAACCGGCAAGTGTACTGATCGTTCAAGTAATAAAGTGATAAGTAAGTTATCGTCTCCACAGGGATTGTGAGCGAATATCTTATAAACGTCCTTTCAAGATATAAACCCAAGTGACTTGAAGAACAATAGAAATCAAAGACAAAGACGTATTTTTGGATTTTAAAAATAAGAGAATGATGCAAAATGATTTGAATAAAAATATGACAGATATTGCAGGTAAGTACACTCGCCCTATGATCCCCTCTTTTCACTATGGATTGATTCACAATGCTCAATTAAAATAAACAATCAAACAATTTATCATCCAAACAATTATTAGCTAAACCTCAATTCCTTGCAAATTTAGCCCTTTAATCACAATTAAAACCCTAATTCCTTGCAATGTTTCAATTGAGATCAAGCATTACACAGATAAATTAAACGTTTGTAATCAAGAATGTGTCTATTCCTAGCACGCATGTTAATTATTATCCTACCCCCTTTCTGGACCAAAACCCCAATATTCCTATCTAGGGTTCTAACCCTCAGATTATCATTCAATACTAAACTGATCAGATTTAATATAAACGATAAGCAATACGCACAGAGTAGGCATAAATCAATTAAATTAAAGAGCGAAAAGTAAACCAATCCATAAATAAACAAAAGGTTCACATAGGGTTTGTGACCCTACCCACAATGAAGGAAACTAGCCAGACATGGTCATAGATGAATTACAATGATTCATAAAAGAAGAATAATAGCTGAATTCCAAAGGAAGAGAAAATAATTTCCAAGATCAATCTCCGTCTAAAAGCTCCAGAAGTTCTTCGCAAGCTCTCCGTCTCTTCGTCTCTCCCTTTTTGTCTTCTGATCCCCTCCTTTTATTTTCTCGCACGCGTTCAAAACACGGTGTCTTCCTGCTCGAAAACCGGCGCTGATGGCGCCGTTTTTGCACTGAATTTGAATTAATCCGCGCTGATGGCGCCGATCATACTTCTTCCGCACTGATGGCGCAAAGTTTCCACTGAAAATACATTTATTCCGCGCTGATAGCGCCGCCCGTCTGATCTAAATTTTCCTTCTGCTCAAATTCTCATTTTTCCATGCTAAATTCCTATCCAAATATAAACTTGAGTGAGAAATAACATTGAAAATGAAAAACTAACAATTAATCCATAAAATGTATTGATAAATATGCTCTTTTGACCTTAAAGCTTAGTATTTTAACTTGGAAAATCAAATATATTCCAACCACATCATTCCCAGATTTAAATGTTGTTGTCCCCAGCAACAAACTAGATTTCACATGGAGAAACAAGCAATCATCAATCCAGCATACCATTACTCAGACAATCAAGAAATCACTATACTAAGCGTGATTGATTCAATGCAAAGAAATCTTAACAATGCTCTCTGCCCTCATGAACATTAGAATCTAACTTGATCACCCCTCACCAAGATAAACATGTATCACTCAACACTTAGTGTTTAGGGGGATAGAAATCACTCAGTCCATCACAACAATAGCACTACCATAAGCTTGACCATATTCTCTAAATTCCTAAAAATAAGGAATATTACACATGCAACAATTGATCAAAAGGACTTTACAGGTTGTATCTTGGCCTGACTAGGGGTAAGGATATATGGATAGTGGCTAATTTACGATGAGATTGAAAAACTGATAAATTCACAACTCAAAGACATTTTCAACTCAACGGTGTTGCTCCACTAACATTCCCACAGAATTTCGGGAATCAATTCCTTTCACCCACATTTATTCTTAAGATCTTCATACATATCATCTTTCTTTCTTTTCCAGAATTTTCTCTTTTTCTGTTTTTTTCTTTGTGGGTGACCCTTAATTACTTAACCTTAGTGGAGCTTACCTCAATTTCTTATTTATTTTTCAACATATCAATTTCAATCTCAATCAAGGTAGGCATGGACAAGGTTAAACAATCAATCAGGTATCATGAACAAATAGGCTCAGGCTCAAAGGGGCTAACAATGGAAAATTCATAAGGTGAGCTATTTGGCCATAGGCTAACAAGAATAAAATGCCTTTATCATTTCAATCAATGCATGCATAACAGAGAAATAGAGCATGTTCTAGAGTGCTATTCTAGTGAGGCCTCTCAAGAAAAATTTAACTGTATAGGCTCAAACCTCACTAGCTATGGCTATCAAGCTAGACTTCATCACAAGAACATCAAACATCATTAATCTTTCAAATCACAGAATTCAATCAAACGAGCAATCATGAAAACTAATCATGCCCAAGTAATGTCATGCCAGATTATTATAACAAATATGCTTCCTCAAATATAATCATGCAAGTTGCATAGGGAACACATTTAAACCTGGGCATGCTTTAGAATCATATTTTCCAAAATTTCCAAAAAAAATTCTTGATAAGAGCACACAAACAACTAAAAAAAAATAAAACTAAAACAATTGGTTAGAATATCTCGCCTGATAACGTTGTAATCCATTAGCTTGCTTGGCCTTCCATTCCCAGATTTAGAACATTGCTGTCCTCAGCAATAATGAAACCAGAAGAAGGAAGAAAAACCTGCACAATGGAACAAACAGTGGCATATAGGATAAACTATAATGCACACATTAAAACATCAGAAAGAGATATACCAACAGAAAACAACTAAAAATACGAAACAAAAAAATAAACTAATATACAAAATCTCCGTCAGCAAGGAGATATAATCAACCCTCCATGTCATCCCTCTCAGCAGCGTGGGATGACGCAACAAATGGAGGATCCGGTGGTACTGGATGCTTTGGTGTATGAGACCACCATTCCCAGATTTGTTCCAAACCATGAAGCCATGTTAAGAACTCTTTGAAGCTTTGATTTTTCCGAGAGATAGAGTCTCGGTGTCTCTTGTCAAACTTCAGCTCCCGGTGTCTCTTCCAACTCGTATCAAAGAGTTTCACCACTTCCTTTCTTAGTACCTTCTTCAGTATCGGATTACGCCTCCTTTGAGACGTCTTCACCTCTTTGACATCAGCTTTTAGAGTTTGAGGAAGATCCTTCAATTCCACTTTTGAGGTTCCATCTTCCTTGTAATCATCTGCTTTTTCAGGAACCTCAACTGCTACATCTTTTTCTTTCTTTACGACTTCAAAACTAAAACAATCGTCTTTGTGGGAAGACTGTTTTAGAGAATCGAAGACGTGAATAGTAACGGTTTCATCATTCATTCTTAGCTCGAGCTTCTCGCTTTCAACATCAATCAGTGCACGAGATGTAGCTAAGAAAGGTCTACCCAGCAAAAGAGGCATTTCAGCTCCCCATTCCATGTCCAACACCACAAAATCAGCAGGGAAGATGAACTTGTCCACCTTCACAAGAACATCTTCAATAATACCACTAGGCTTCCTCGAAGACTTATCAACAAGTTGAAGAGATGCTAAAGTAGGATTCAACTCGGTGATCCCCAAGGAATTACAAATAGAAAGGGACATCAAATTAATGCTAGCCCCTAGATCACATAATGCTCTGCCAATTTTTGTGTTACCAATTTCAACAGAAATATTGAAGCTCCCTGGATCATGACGCTTAGGCGGAAACTTCTTTGTAATAATAGCAC